CCAGGCTCCGGCAGACCCCAGAGGGATTTATCCCAGTGGGTGTTCGCAAATGACAGGAGGTGCGTGGGGAGGGGGGGGTACACCGACAGACGTCCCCAGGGATTAAATCAGTAAGGACTGCTGTGCTCTGCCCTGCGCGATGATCTGCCCTACCTGTGGCGAAGAATGCAGCAACAGGTTGTGGCGGTCCCCTCGCCCCCCCTGGCCCCTCACCATTCCTCCTTCAGAAGTGGCAGCAGATTAGCCCAGAGCCCCTCTGCACAGACAAAAGCTGCCACAAAGGGCATTAGGCTTCAGGATTGGATTACCGTGTGGCCACCTGTCATCCCCACTTTGTAAATTTATCTCACTCTAGGTCTGGTTTTCACATTGGAGAAGTTTGCGCTTCAAGAAAAAAATAAAATCCCCCCTCCCAGTGCCTCTCCGAGAAGCAGCCTGGTGGAGCTGGTTTTAGCATCCCTTCTTCTTCCAGGCTTCAGAGCTGTGTGGGGCTGGGGATTAGGGCTGTTTGAATAAAGAGAGCCTTTATTATATTAGTCTAAGTGGTTAATAGGTAAAGTAGGCCAATCCATCTTTAGACTAAGCCTATCACTTCGCCTACGAAGGGTGCAGGCTTCACTGAGGAAATATTCATTAAAGGAAAAGCTTTTCCTCTGTCCCTCTTGACATGTTAATAGCTCAGGGTTAGGGGCTCTGCTCTCTGCCTGCGGAAAATTCATAGCTGTGCTCACGCAGCAACTCCCTCCCCTCGCTGGGACCCCCGATGCTGCCGGCAGCTCTGCCGAAGTCAGCAGAGCGGCGCTGAGCCCCACCGGTGCTTTGCTGGCTGGGCTCGGTTGGGAATAAGGGATGCTGGGAGTCTGCTGGTGCTCCTCATCCTGGTTTTCCTTTTCTAGGCTTAGAAAGCGGATGCCTCGTCCCTTCCCCAGCAGGGATGTAGGGTGAGGGTTCAAATGAGAGGTAGAGGTAGTGCTTCAGTGCTGGGACTCTTTGCTGTGGGATGTTCTCAAGGCCAAAAGACTCATTTATGGGTTTGAAAGGATTAGACAGTTCATAGACGCTATGGCATGGGATGATCTGGATGCAGGTGCTGGCTCCAGAGGTCTTTGAACTCCAGGTTGCCGGAAGGCAGGAGGCTAACAAGGCAGGAGGGACTGCTTGCCAAGCTTTTCATGCCATCTTTATTTTCCACTACAGTATCCGCTACAGCCCTCAGAGGTGTCTCCATCCAGCCCTGTCCCGACTGGAGCAGCAGCTTTTGTCCGAGGGCTCAGCTGAGCTCCCCGTTTCCCACAGCCCTTTCTCATCTCCCTTTCCTCTCCCGTATGGACAACGATAGTAGCTGCACCTCTGCCGTTCTTGTCTTGCACCAAACAGCGCTGGCAGAGGCTGCCTGGGTCTGTAACGTGCCTGTGAAGCTTCCATGGAAATAGAGGACTCCACAGCTGTCACGAGCTGCCCCAGGGCTGAACTGTGCGGGCACCATTGAGCTGAACGGGGGTTTCTGCTGTTACTTTTGCCCAAAGGGGTTGCATCCTACCAGGGCATGGTGGCTACAGCTCTTCTGACCATTCCAGCTCCTTTTTCCCCTCCTTCTGCAACAGCTGTCGTTTAGTGCAGCCCTTGCTGTCTGGGAGCCCCAGGAGCAGATGTGTTCAGAGCTGGAGTCTGGGCTGACTTCCACCAACACGTATGTCTGGCGTGTTGTCTTGGAGCTGCGGTGCTGTACGTGGGCCGGGTTGCCCTTCTCCAGTTGTGGGTTGAATGGGAATAAATGGTTCTTGGTGACTTTTCCACCCGTGTGAGCTCAGACCAGCCAACTTACCCGTTTCTCCTGTCCCTGAGGCTCTGTTGTCTTTGGGTGCCAGCATGACGATGGATGCCTCTAGGGGAGATTATGGAAACCATGGGAAAGCTCATCATAACACACAGACCCAGGCAATAAAACTTTGCTTTCCTAGATGTGATGCTGTCGGAGGGTCAAACCACATCCGTGGGCCACAGTATTTGGCTTCACTTGCTGCTGTCTAGCTTTTGTGCAGCCACTTTTCAAACAAGGCAGTGTCTTAAGAGAATCTCGAGGATCTGAGTTTTGGGCTATGCCTGGCACCCATCTGAGTACAGCAAAGGAAGAGAGTGCTGGAGCTAGGGCTGAAAGCTGGTTTTGGTGGATTCAGTTCTCATTCTTTCTATATCTGCTCATCTTAGCCTGTGCTGAGCAAGCCAGACAGCAGTAGCAGTGTCAAGGATGTACCTTGTCTTGCTTCTCTGGCTGTGATGGGTCACCAGCAAGATGTTCTGCAAATGCCAAGGATTCAGGTCCTCTCCAAAAATAACAATTTTGAGGGGTCTAGACCTGCACAGAACTGAGTGCTCTCTTGGAAACAAAACATGTTGGATGCCCTCAGCCACAAATCAAGAGTGTGGGTTCAGGTGTTGACTGGTCTGCAAAGGGACTGACAGTGGGACGATGGATGCCTCTTAGACAAAGAATTGCTTCTTGCTGTCTTCCACTTCTGCGGTGTGCTCCTCTGTGTTGGTTAAAACACTAATTAAGAGCCTGTGTTTCCCAACCAGATCAACTGACTCAGCACCTCCAGCCCCAGCAATTCCCTCCTCTTTCATGGCCCAGCCCTACCCAATACCTTTCTTGTACGAGGAGGGAAAAATAAGCCTTGCATCATTCCCAGGAGACTGATAAATACAGACTGTAGTAGTCCTGGAGGAGAAGTTGGTCTCGAGGTACACGGCCCGGTACAGCAAGCAATCTGACGGACCTGACCTGAAGCAAAGGGCTTCAGAGCTGCACGGCCATCCTGAGCACGACTTGGGAAGCAGTCTCCTCTCTAGATGGGTCCCAGGCCATTAAGGACTTCATGGGTTGAAACCAACCTCTTAAATCAAACTGAAAAGCGGTCGGTGGCCAACGCAGGATGTAGAACTCGGGTTTAATGTGGCCATAAAAAGAGACACCGCTTAATGAGTAGACCGTCGAAATCCACATCAGCCCATGATAGATTTAAGAGTTGCTCACTGAGCGTTATTGACTGGCCGTGTTCTGCGATGGCGTTATGGGTTTGCAGAGCTGGCCAGAAAGGTGAAGGATTAGTCAGAGTTTTATTTTGGTTACTGATTTTTGGCACATGCTGGCTCCTGACTTCCAGAAGCTCTCGTGTCCCAGGTTTCTGGTAGACCAGTGTGATTTTTATCTGCATATGAAACTCCACTTGCATGGCCTTGAAATCGCATCCCGAGGGGTTGCCACCACCCTTGGGCATGGCTGGAGGTTTCCTCAAGCTGATATCCCCTTCCTCCACAGTCCGACTTGTCCATCGCCACTTCTCCCAGTGCAGATCTGGTGTGGGGACCATCTCCCACCATGGGTCGATGGAGAACGGGCTTTCTGGGCAGCCCCTGACCTGCAGTGCAGAGGTATAGTCATGGGGTGCCCCTTGCCAGTAAACACATTGCATAAAGTTAATGCCAGAAGTAAATGGTGAAGTAAAATACCAGGTACAGTGTGAGCTAAATAGTAGTTGCATAAATAGCTACTGACTAACTTTCACAGGTATGTGATGATTTTTGATTCAATCACACTTCTCATTCCTGGTTTTTCTATTATTTGGCCTCTGAAAACATGGGTCAATTTTTTTCCCTTGGCTTCTTAATTGGGACAACCATTGGTTTTAGGACAAATTATCAGTGGCTTTTTTAATTGCAGAAGCCCATGGTGGTCTTTGCTGTAGAAGCATAAAAGCAGCAAGGGAGGAGATGGCCGTCGGGGAACAAACAGCCTCTGTGTGCAGTCTCATACGTTCGAGGGAAACGCTGTTTGAGGCTTGCAGATCACACACTGGCTGGTTATTTCTGTGTGCTGGGTGGAGGCTTTGAAAACTTCATCAAGTTTTATAGTTTTAATTTTGTGGCTGACTCCCTCTTGCCTTTTTTTTTTTAATTGTCTTGCAACCCAGAGCAAATGAATCCCATTGGGTTATAAAGGGAAAGAATTGGCAAATGGTCTAAAATATTTAGGCTTGCCTAGTGAATGATAGGAAAAAGTTACTCTTCCTGCTTCATGCCACTTCCATCGTTTCTGCAAGCTCTCTAGTTTTTCCCGACATGATTAATTAGAAATAGCCAGGGAGTAAGGTGGAATTACGGAAAGCTTTAGGTTTCAAGGGTATTTTCTGAGAGTATGTCCTACCCATGAGCTGAGGTTGTGTTCTCCGTGGTCGTATCCTGTATCCTGACCTGCTGTAGCCTGTGTGGCAGTGGAGGGGAGAGGTTGTCCTTGTTGGGTGCTGGACTGGGATGTGCCAAAGATGCCACCAGCAGCTCTTGATGCTCCTTCTAGTGCGTATTAGGGAACAAGTCTGCACAGCGGTAGAGAAGAGAAAAGCAATGGGTGAAGCTGGGTGCAAGAGGACCCCTGCTTTTGGGTGAGGTCCTGCTGTTGACACGCCAGGGACAAATTGCATCCTCTTGCCTGAACTGGGAAAAGTGTCACATTTGGGAAAGTACTAAGGGAAAGTAAGATGGATGTGCTCTGGTGAGTTCCTGCTTTTCCGCTACACCGTTCCTCTGATTTCCATGGGGAAAAGAAGCTCTGGATTGGGGCTGAGGGCTCTCTGGTGTTGTCTTGAGCCAGAAAAGCTGCCTGGTGCAGCTCAGGACTCATCCTGACTGGTGTGGAGCTGGTGTGGTACATGTAGCCACACTCCAGGTGCAGAGTGTAGCCCAGCTAATCCACTCATGGATCACTGGGAGATTACTCAGCTGGATTTCTAATACAGTGGCCTTTAATAAGAATCCCCCCCTAATCCCTAAATCAATGGAAAAGGGATTTATCTGTACAAGTTAAATGGCCTGTGTAGGTATTTTAGGGAGAAGAATTCTGCTGTATCTATGTGTGAACATATATACATACATATATATGCATATGCATATTTTTGTTCCTGTTACCTGCCATTCTGACCCATGTCTGTGTGTTTTGCTGGCAGGGACCTCATGCCCAGGACCCTGGAGGGGCAGATCACCATGGAGAAGACCCCCAGCTACTTCGTCACCAAGGAGGCCCCAGCGCGCATCTCCTCCATGTCCAAGGGCACAAAGCTCATCGTGGTGGTGCGGGACCCCGTGACCAGAGCCATCTCGGACTACACCCAGACACTCTCCAAGAAGCCCGATATCCCCACCTTTGAGAGCCTGACCTTCAAAAACAGGACTACGGGCCTGATTGACACCTCGTGGAGCGCCATCCAGATTGGCATCTATGCCAAGCACCTGGAGAACTGGCTCCTCTACTTCCCCATCGGGCAGATCCTCTTCGTCAGCGGGGAGAGGCTGATCAGCGACCCCGCGGGGGAGCTGGGCAGGGTCCAGGACTTTCTGGGCCTCAAGAGGATCATCACCGACAAACACTTCTACTTCAACAAAACCAAGGGGTTCCCGTGCCTGAAGAAGGCGGAGGGCAGCAGCAAACCCCACTGCCTGGGGAAGACGAAAGGCAGGACCCACCCCGACATAGACCAGGAGGTGGTGCAGAGACTGCGGGACTTCTACCGGCCCTTCAACATGAAGTTCTACCAGATGACGGGGCAGGACTTCGGCTGGGACTGAGGCTGGCGTGGGAAAGTCCCTTGTAATTACTTGCCCAGCACGGTTTGCGTATATAAAGAGATATATATGTATGTAAAATGTACAGAAATCTATTTTATAATAATTTATTTTTAATTCCTAAGCAATTAATTCACTAAGCTGCCTAACCGCACTGGCTAGAACGGTAGCCCGTAACCTGTTTAACATTCCACGATGTTTAATTCTAATATGTCTCTCCTTTTTTTTTTTTCCCCCTTCTGTTTTCTCCTCTTTTGGGTTTGGTTTGTAACACACGGTGCTTCCATTTTTCCTAAACAAAATTTGTATTTAAAAAAAATCAAAAACAGCGAGGGTGGCAGGGGAGGGGCGGGGAGGGAGGGAAAGCACAACTTTATTTTTGTTACGGGTATCTGGCCTTTATAAACACTTGCTTTCCCTATTCCGGTGTCCCAGTCTCTGCTCCAGTGTTGTGCTCCCTCATCCCACAGCTTTCCAGTTAGTCCCGTGGCCCCGGGAGTGTTTCTCTGGGGCGGGTGGGGAGGGAAAAAAAAACACATACCTCTGCTGAGCAGCAGCATGTTTTACCGGTGGCTGTAAAGCGTAGGGAACCCCAAGCCATACAGCTCCTGCTCCGCAGCCCAGGACTCTGCCGGGAGGGTAGTGTGCTCTTTTGCATCGGCAGAGCTGTCTCCTCACTATACTTTTCCTTCTTGCCTTTGGTCAAGGAGGCTCTTTCCCACGATCTCTCTATGCATTTTAAATCTTTACTGCAGGACAAATGTAAAAATACATGTATCTGTATATGACACGCTCGGTGCTGGTTTGAATGGCTCGCAAGAAGCGTCGCTCCAGGACTGCCTGTGCACGCAGGGCACCCTTGGGAGATGGCTGTGTCGGCAGTGCAGGGAACAGCGTCCGCCCACCAAAGATGCTGGCAGAGCCGCAGAGCCATGTGAAAACCCCCGGTCTCTGCTTGGTGCCATCCCCAGCATGGAGGGTGGCCCAGGACACGGTGCAGGCAGTGCCACCTCCAGCCCTACAGCCACCGGAGCAGCCCCCGGTGCGTGAGTCTGGGGAACATCGACCTTGGCCCTCTTCGTTCCCATCACTTTTTGGTCCAACACCTTATCCGTGGTCTCTCCCAAGGAACAGTGTTTGCCTCGAGCCAGGAAGAAATGCTGCTGTGCCAACGAGGATGAATCTGTAGAAAAGCAGGGGGGAGTCTGGGCTGTCCTTGGGTTGGGGCGTTGCTGGCAGCCCAGGCATGGCCGGGCACCTCCCCGATGCCCCAGGTGAGCGCAGGGCTGACAGCCGGGCAGGACAAGAGGCTCTGAGCACTTTTAGCATCAGCCCAGGTACAATAATGTGGAGATCCTTCCCCTCAGGTGGAACCAAATGCTTTAGGACTTTAGGACAGGTTGATGGGGATGTCCTGAGAGCTCTTGCCATGGTTTGTGTGCTCAGGAGGGTTCGATACACACCGTGTGTGTCCAATGCCGTATCGTTACCGTCAGAAGTTCTGCTAGCTCAACCAGAACATTTTCGGAGCGAGGTGGTAGCAGAAGTGATTTGCTCCTTGAATTTTTAATAGAAGCAGGGCTATGTTGTCTTTGGGCAACAAAAACCCATGCACCTCACCTGCGGCACTGAAACGTTGTACTGCACCGAGCGTGGAGCTTGCTGGATAAATCTCACGATGTTACTGCGTGAGCACTTGCATAAAGCAGGCAGTCTAAATAAAACTCGAAATAGCAAACACACCGATGGGCAGGGCATGTGTGAGTTGAGTTAATGCTCTAGTTTCATATGCATTGCCTGTATAAATGCATGCCCTGTGCCTCTCCCCAGTCACCCATAGCAAACCACCTTGGAGCACCATGTTGCTGAGCCATGCCCAGCCGCGGTGGGGTGTTTTCAGTGGCGTTTCCCAGATATTTCTTTTGCTTTGCAACCTCCTTGCTCTTGCCTGCCCCTTACAGCTCTCTGCTGTGGCGGTTTGGTGATGAAAAGGCTCTTCGGAGCCTGGACCGCTCTCTCTGGGTCTTGAGCTGGTCCTGCTCAGGTGGATACAGCGAAGAGCAGACCCACCTCTGGGTCCACTGGAGAGATTTGCAGGTAAAGTGCTGCCCTTCAGTGCCTTGTTTGAACCTAAGGGCTCTTGCCTTGGCTCAGCGGTGTCACATTTCTGAAGGGATTTACGGACTCGCACCCCTGTCCGTGCTGGTGAGGCGTGTGTGGGTTCATACGTGGGGTGCAGTGCACTGGGATGTCCTCAAGGCAAGAGGGATGCTAAGCGTAACGTCAGGACTGAGCTGCCTAGCAAACCTGCTGTGAGCAGGATGCAAATCCCTCCTTGGGGTTTGCCTCCCAGCACGTCTTCCTACAAACAGGGAAAGTTGGACAAATCCTTTCCTCTTTGCCCTGAGCCATTTCTAGCAACGAAGCGATGCTTCAAACTGACGCGGTCCCACTTCCAGAGGTCACAGGCGTGAGCGTGGGACCTGCTGGGCTCTGCAGGTTGACAGACCACACACACGAGCCCCATCCTGCACAACGCAGCTGCAGACCTCGAGTGGAGGTTGGATCTATGCATGTTTGGGGCCTTTGGTTTTAGGTCCAGCCAGGCCCCCGGCTCTGTTCCCTGTTGCCTAGAAGGGTGATGAATGCACGAATGTGTCTGCTTTGTCACAAACCCTGCTGCTGTTGGGCGACAGAGGGGAAGGCGCTGCAGGGGATGAGGGGTGGCAGGGGGAGAGAAGAAAATACTTCCTGGTGGAAAAGAGTGATTTTTGGTTCTCTAAAATTCAGTCTTCCTACTAGCTGGCCTATGCAATGTGTGGAAAGAAGCTCGTCCTCTCCACTTGGCCTTTGGGTAAGCTCCCAGCCACTCTTGTGCCGCTTCCCCACGCGGTTTCGCTGGCTGAGAGCCCCCGGGATCTGCCGCGTCGGCGTGGCTTCCTTCCCGCGTGGTTCCCTCCGGAGCGCGTGTGCGTGCCTGCTTTCGAAGGCTGGGAAGATTTCGCATCCCTTACGTCTTCCTTCTTGCTTTCTTGGAAACAACTTTTTTTAATATCCCAATGCCTTCCGCAGCTCTACGGCAGAGTGTGGGCTTAATTTGTATAATGAAGCCCTCCTGCAAGACGCTCTCATGAAGCAATCTTCTTGGAGAGTAGAAATACAGAGGGTGAGTAATAACTCCTCTAACCTTAAGCAAATTGTTAGCCCTGGCTCAATATCCTTCATAATGAAGTCTGCACTAGACTTTTCATGTAAAGGCCTTACCTAACAAATAAGATGATGAAGGTGAATTCCCCGTGGCGTACATCTGGTTGCTAATACTGGAATAAGTGCTACTGTCATCATTTTTTTAAAAAATACCTTTTTTTTTGAAGTTAAGCTTGGAGGTGTGATGAGAAGTTCAGTTGGTTTGTTGGGGTTTTTTTCACATTGTAACATTAATTTATGGCTGAGTTTCATTCAGTCCTGTGTTCAGAAGTGCAGTACAGTTATTAGTGATGTGTTGTCTGTAACATGGTACTATAGAGTAGCCAGTTTGTAAGAAAAAGAACAAAATGGAAAGAAAAAAAACAAACAAAAAAAAAACCACAAAAAAGAAAGTCTGAAAAAAAAATGTAAATCAAGTATTTTGTGGTATGTACAACACAAATTAATTTTACACAGAGAAAGATGTTTCTAGGGAAATGAAATTCTGATAATTCATACTGTTTGTATGAACAAATAAAAGCTATATTTTACCAAGTGATGGACACAGTTGTATTCATTCAACGTGGTGGAGGTGGCCTCCCCACATGGATTTGGTGGTGCTGCCCCCGACACTTGCGTGTCTACCCCATTAATGTCCGTGCAACCGTGCTGGCCCCATGGCAAAGCCCCAAAGCAGGTGCTGAAGCCAGCAGGATTTAATCCCATAGGCGAGCTCCCATCCAGCCCAGGGCTGTGGCTGGGAGCCGGAGGCCTCGCTGGCTGGGGAACGTGTGTGTATTTTGCTAAGTTGGGTGGTGTGGGGGCTGATCTGTCCTGTCAAATGCACCTTCATCAAACACCATTTCAGGGAAGGAGACCTGAGGGATTGCCCTCAGCTCTACTCCAAAAACCGGATGGTTTTGGTTGTTGGTGAAACCATCCTCCTGTGTCAGGGATGCTGGAGGACAAATTCAGTCCTTTATAGCCGGTGGTGGGGAACCTTTCTAGTGCCAAGTTTCTTTTCAAAAGCATTGCACTTACAGTAGTGATGCTGGTCCAAACCTCTGGGGCCAGCAGTTGCTATTGCTCCCCACACACTCAGCACTTTTAAGATACAAAAATTCATTATCTTTAAATTCAGAAGAGTCCCAGGCCAGTGCTCTACAAAGCAGTGCCTAAAGAACACTTAGATTTATGTAATGTAGCAATTGCCACTTAACTAAACTGAATTAAAATAATTTAATTTTTCTTAGCAAGTCTTGCATCCGGTGCAGAGTAATTGATGGGAGTCTTTCAGATTGCCCATTTTTCAGAGACCTTCTAGAAAAGGAGTCAAAAGTGAGCACAAGATTTAATACAGCGATTTAGGAAGAGTTCAACCTGGAAACCTCCAGCTTGTCAAGATTGTAATTAGCTGCTCCCAAACTCTGCCAATGCTTAAACTCTATATGTGCCTCGTTTTAAAAATACATATATGTAGATTTTACTTCAAAATTCCCATGTACCTTTTGAGCAGCACAGCTGGATGTGCTGCCAGCTGACCTCAGCTTGATGGAGTTGACCAACTTGTTACCTCATTATCAGCTCACCTTGATTGCATTCAAAACCAGATGCCCCAGCAGATGTCAATCCTGTAGGCACCCTAAATCTGAGCCCAACTTGATTTTGCAACAGCTCGTAGAGTGCTGTCCCTCATTTTTGTATTTTATAAGAGCTGCTTAGTTCTGGGATGGAAGGAGTGTGGGTGCTTTTCCTTCACAAGGGGACTGGTGCTGCAGAGGAAAGGGAAGGTGAGTCCTCATGGGGTTCAGCATCTGCTCTGTCCTCTGCATCTCCCTGTAGACTCTTTCCAGCTGCACCTGGGCTTGTGGATACTGGGGATTCTTTGCTCGGTTTGGGCTGAGCCCCATCCTCAGGTGCTGTTTTGGCAAGAGCATCTAGAAGATAAGAATAAGGATGTCTGTGGTTTATGGGGTCCTGAATACAGAGAAGTGTTTGCTCTAAAGAAGATGGGCTTAAGGGTCTTCTAGTAGCTCTGGGCACCCCAGCTAAAGGAAGAAACTCTTGAAGAAGGAGAATGGCTTGATGAAGAGGTAGGTGAGGCTGAGGCAGCCATTAAAATGTTGTTGT